CCTCTGCGGAGTGGGCTTGGGTACACTGCGTTCCCTGAGGTAAGAGGGATTTGTGTTTCTGCGGAAACCCCCCTTTGTATGGTTCTGCTCTGAGGAGCAGTAAGCTCTGTACGCATGAATGGTTATTGGGTCCCACTATTTCTTCAGATTCTGTCGGGTCTGGTTATATGGGACCCATGCTCTCTATCGAGATAGAGAGCATGAGACCGTGTCCAGCCGCACCAGTGGACTGTCTTTTATTGGGCCCTGCTGGGTTACCCCTTCTAATCTAGCGCCTCCTTCTGGTCGAGCTGAGAAGTGCTCCCCTCACTGTGAGGGTTAGCTATGAGTCGCTCCCAGTATGTGCTGTAAGGGCCCACCTCAGCTTGAAAGCTGAGAGCGCTGCTCCCGAAAAACTTAGTTTGCAACGAAACTGTGTTAGGCCCGTTTCTGTCACCTCCTTGGTCAGTTGCCTCTATGCTGGGACCCTGTTGTTCCCTTTAGAAATGTGTGATCCCCTTCTAGCAGGATTCCATTTCTGATGTCCCATTTGCGATCTATCTACTCCCATGGCTGTGATCCCCTCACTTGCTGCCTCCTTGATAAGCTGCCTCTATTTGGGTCAAGCCAGGCAGTGCTCCCCTCACCCCGGAGGGTTGTCTTTGAGCCTGCCGATTGAGCGTCTGTGGACTTTTCTCATCGAGTCTTCCGCTCGTTTGAGCTCCATTGAGTAGCGGCCTCAGGGTGTTAGGCCTCTCTTCACCTCCCTGTTGAGCCGTTTTCCTTGTGGGTCGAGCTTAGCAGTGCCCTTGGGGGTTTCATGAGCATGCCCCTCTCGATCTGAGCGTTCGAGTCCCCCTTCTATTTTTGAAGTTGGGCCTCCAGCCCCTAGGCTGGTTTAATGCAGCCTCGGTTACCCCTTAAGCAACGGTGTTTCTAAATCCATGCTATGTTGAGTGAACATGCTGAGCTTCTGTGCACTTTCTAAAATCCACATTGTGGTATGTGTGCACGCTAAGCTTTCTGCGCACTTTCTAAAATACTGTATGGTAAGGGTTACGCGCTGTCAGCCTCGTTCCCTTTCTCTGAGTTGGTTTAGGCCCCGGTTTTCGCCTTGGGCTCCACTCAACTTATTGATACCCTGTTGATACATTTCTGAGCAGGGTGTTGCTACCAAAGATCTGTCGAGTCAGTTCTTTGAGTAGGTTTATTCAGAACTGGCGGTAGCCCCCCCTGGGTGGCAGGCCAGGGTCTGGTTTTTAGACACCTGGCCGTATCCCCTTCAAGGAATCTCTTTCTTCTGATTCCAAGCCTTGAGCTCTGCCCTCAAGTGTCTCTTTCCCTTCTCCGGGAACTTCTGCAGTGTCTCGTTCCCTTCTCAGGGAACCATGGTTACATACGTAACCTGAGACGTTCCCTTCTGAGGGAACTTCGAACTGCGCCCTCTAGTTCCCTTGCCATGCTTCGGACGTAAGCTTCAGACGAAGAAGCGGATGACGTGTTCTCCCAGCGCCCTTTTATACTGTGGTCGCGCCGGGTCATGACGTCACAGGCTGTTGCCGGCCAATGTTATTGTCGTGTTTAGATGTATGCTTCAGACACCGGTCACGCTGAAGGCGTTCCCCATAGCAACCCCTAGAGGACGCAGTGTTTCATTACCTTCGCAGGGAATCATGGTTACATACGTAACCTGAGACGATCTCTGTGTCGAGCACTGGCTGTTGTCATATATACAGTCAGGTCCATATATATTTGGACACTGACAAAATTTTCATAATTTCGGCTCTGTATGCCACCAGAATAGAATTAAAATGAAACAATCAAGATGAAATTGAAGTCCAGACGTTAAGATTTAATTCAAGGGGTTGAACAAAAATATAACATAAAATGCTTAGGAATTACAACCATTTTTATTCACAGTCCCCCCATTTTCAGGTGCTCAAATGTAATTGGACAGAAATATAATCATAAATAAAATTTTCATTTTTAATATTTTGTTGAGAATCCTTTGCAGGCAATGACTGCCTTAAGTCTTGAACTCATGGACTCATCACCAAAGACTGGGTTTACTCCTTTGTGATGCTTTGCCAGGCCTTTACTACAGCTGACTTCAGTTATTGTTTGTTTGTGGGTCTTTCTGCCTTTAGTTTTGTCTTCCGCAAGTGAAATGCATGCTCAATCAGGTTGAGATCAGGATAATGACTTGGCCATTGCAGAATATTCCACTTTATTACTTTCAAAAACTCCTGGGTTGCTTTGCTGTATGTTTTGGATCAACGTCCATTTGTACTATGAAGCGCCGTCCAATCAACTTTGCTCCCTTTGACTGAATCTGGGCAGAGAGTATATCCCTATACACTTCAGAATTCTTCCGCCTGCTTCCGTCACGTCATCAGTAAACACCAGTAACCCAGTGCCACTGGAAGCCATGCATGCTCATGCCATCACACCTCTCCACCATGTTTCACAGATGATGTTGTATGCTTTGGATCATGAGCTGTTCCAAGCCTTCTCCATACTTTTTTCTTCCCGTCATTCTGGTATAGGTTGATCTTAATTTCAGCCGTCCAAAGAATGCTTTTTGCAGAAGTGGTCTGATCAGGTCTAATCTAGACCAGTCTAATCAGGTCTTATTTGCACCTTGTGGTGAACCCTCTGTATTTGCTCTTGTGAAGTCTTCTTTTGATTGTAGACTTTGACAGTGACACACCTGCCTCCTGGAGAGTGTTCTTCTCTTAGCTGGATGTTGTGAAAGGGTTTTTCTTTACCATGGAGAGGATCCTGCGATCATCCACCACTGTTGTCAACCATGGACATCCAGGCCTTTTTATGTTGCTGAGCTCACCAGTGCGTTCTTTTTTTGTTTTTATTTGTTAATGTTAATTCAAGTAATAAAAATGTTTTTTTATATTTTTAATTGTTAATATTTGTTTTATTTCAAGTAATAAATGTTTTTAGTTTCAGTTAAGGATATAATAATCCTTGTTTGTGTGAAATATCTCGCTGACTGTAAACAAAACTTTTCCACTTTTTTTTTCACCATTTGAGAGTGAAATATTGTCACACCGAAAATATTAGGCTGAAAAATATTTTTAGCCATCTCAGCCCAGCCCTAATATGCAGCTCATGTTGCATTAAAGGTCTTGTATGCCTGCTTGAAATAATGGCTCCATTGATTAAAACACATAAATAATATATAAATAAAATTTTTAAAAAAAACTTTTTTTTAGATTTATGGCCAGCCGTAACTACCCCTCCTTCTCTGTATTGTCCTTATGTGTAACAACATAACATATTTATATTTGTGGGAATAATATGCTAAAAACAATCCCTTAATGTCTCTACTTTTGTATTAGCCCAAAAAAATTTTTGCTCTCTGGTCATTAAGTTCCGGCTTATTCAGCTTTTTTTTTTTTTTTGAAGGAAATCCGCTCGCTGCGCTGGAGAGCCAGGGCTTCCGTTGCTCCGATATTTCATCAGAAAGCAGGGGGAGTTAATCATCATTTATTTATGTGCTGTATGTGCAGAGCTTTTAAGGCTAAACACTAAACAGTCTCCTGATCGTGCTGCTGTGTGGGTGCGTGTAATGCGGGAGGGATGAGTAACAGATCTGCAGACGTTCGTCAGTCTCACTCATTATTCTGTCATTCTTTTCTCTCTCTGATTCTCTGCTCTTTCTTTTAACATTGACTGCTTTCACGCCTCCTCCACTTCCTGTGAATTTTGAGCATGACAAAGTCTGCATAGCAACACATTTAGAGAGGGTGACAGAGGCAGAGGCGGAGGAGAGAGGAAAATGGGTGGAGGCTGAGGCGAGGAAGGCACTGTGACCTTGTTCTGCTGTTGCCTTGGAGACCGTGATGGTTACCTCATCTTTTAGCTCCATATCAGGACTGGGCGACTTCGCTAAAAATATTTTTCAGCCTAATAATTTCATCTCAATATTTATTATGCATTTGCTCTTGTTTCCTAATAAGACAGGGCCATAATTTTCGACCAAAAAGCCATTCTTGTAAATACTATAAATATGATATATATATGCTTGTATGTGTGTTATATGGTCTATGTTTTTAATTTAATCATTTTACAGAAATTGCTTACTGTTCTTGTAACAGAAGTTTAAATCTGACACATAAAACATCAAAGAAGCGTGCCTAAAAACATGACAGAAGCACTAATACTTTAACTTACATTTACTAACAACAAGGGTTACACTTTATTTTACGGTGTCCTTGTTACAGTGTAATTATACCTTTAGGTACTGAGTAGTATTACGGTAATTAACTATATGTACTTACTATATGGTTAAGGTTTGGCTTAGTGTTACTTGCATGTAATTATGCATAATTTATTGTTAATATAATAGTAAGTACATGTAACGCGTAACAATTTGCCCTTACTACAAGCAATACTTTTGTTACAGTATTTATTAATCATTGTTAACATTAGTTAATAAAAGTACAACTGTTAATTGTTAGTTCATGTTAGCTAAAATCCATTAAATCATATTAACAGATACAACTTTTGATTTGAATATTTATAAATGTTGAAATTAAGATTAATAAATGATTTAGAACTATTTTTAATTATCTTAACTAATGCAATTAACAAATATGAACAAATGGAACCTTATTTTAAGTGTTACCAAATGATCTTTTACTAAAATTACTGCCCCAAAAAGTGCATTACAGTCATCAAAATCTATAACCCTCACTCCATAAGTGCAATAGGGGGTTGGTCATGCGATGGATTGCCGCCGAAACACAATAAAATATGCAAGAGCTCCACCCAACTACAACAAAGAAAAAAAATCGTTTTCTAATCAGAACAAGGAATTAAATTGAATGTTAAGGTAATAAAGTGCATTAACATGCAGCTATGAGTTTATTTGGGATTAAGTATGGTTTTCATAATCAGTATTTTCATCATCCATCATGAATCACCCCCCCGTAATACTCCATACATAATACTCTTTATCGAGCCGTCAGCTGTAAACATAAATGTCTTTTTTGTTTTCACAGGGATGCTGTTATTAAGTGCTTCACCTCCTGTTTGAGCTAAACTATCCAGTATTTCATCTGACGACCAGACCTCCATAGTAAATATGTTTTTTTTTTAAATATTGTTTTTCTCTTTCATCTCCAAACCACACTGTCCTCCGTGACCTTAAAACATTTCCTCTTTTGTCTTAATATAATCATTTTAAATTAACATTGTGTAATATTAAAGGTGCAGTAGGAGATCTTGGAAAATGCTAACTTTAGCCTGAAAGCGAACGTCCCACCCTCCTTGCAATCGCCGTCCTAAGCCACGCCCTCTCACCGCATATAGGCTCACAGACCAGAATACCAGAGACAACATTACTACAATAGGCTACATCAGCTGTTCCCAATTCCAGTCCTCGCATTTATTTACAGAGGTATATTATGTCACACTTCTCTAGTAAGTTTCGTCTGTGTGTGAAGACGCTGCGCAGCGCAAATCCGTGAATGAATGTTCCGAAGTGAAGTAAACTTCAACGGATTTCCTCTGCTCAGGGAGTAGGGAACAGGGAACTGCTGGGCTACATCATGTGTCATTCACCGGTGAGAAAACTTTATAGTACAGTTAGTACTACTGCTCTATATATGTTTATGGAGATAAAAGGAGATGGAGATAAAAAAAACTGCCCCGGAACAGCTATCAGCATGGACTGTAGGCATCGATCACGTTATTATTGCAGAGCACATATTGAGTCCGTGAGTAGCCTAACCTCTCCGCTCGGATCGCAGGTGAATTTTCCTCACTATATGAGTGAGAGAGAGCGGCGTCGGCGCGTCCAGTTTTATGTCAACAAAACTGGATGCTCTCTCTCTCAGATATTACAAGTGCACGTTAGGGCACCGACCGGCAGAAACATCTGCACCTATGGCATGGACGACGAAACAAAACCTCATCAGAGCCGTAATGCGGCGCAGAAGTGTGCAGTGTGTGTGCTTGCCGCACGTCTACATTTGAAATAACGAACCTGAGCGCGCAGAAGAGGCGATGTGAATGGCTATTTTTTCCCTGCATGTCATGTGTGTGGGGCTCCGTTTTTATGATGAGAGGAAAGGTTGAGAAAACACTCCAGGTAAATTTTGAAATGTACCAGGTTTATATATAGGCTATATATAAAGTTGATAAGCAGTTAAATGTGTTGGTTTACACACAAAGAAAAGTGTAAGCTTTTAATAAGTCCAAGAATAAAATGATTAATTTACTTAGCATGTTAAATTTGATTTACAGAACTTTTGTGCTGTTTTCTAACAGTTTGGACTTGAATAAAGAGAGAAAACTTGCACTTAACCTTTTCACAGGCATTTTGTTTTCATAGTTAGACAGATATCGTGATGTATCATTATAGAATTGTCTTGTGCGCGGGGCTCCGTTTTTATGATGAGAGGAGAGGGAAAGGTTGAGAAAGCACTCCAGGTAAATTTTGAAATATACCAGGTTTATATATAGGCTATATATAAAGTTGATAAGCTGTTAAATGTGTTGGTTTACACACAAAGAAAAGTGTAAGCTTTTAGGCTCTCCCTCTCTCTCAGATATTACAAGTGCGCGTTAGGGCACCGACCGGCAGAAACATCTGCACCTATGGCATGGACGACGAAACAAAACCTCATCAGAGCCGTAATGCAGCGCAGAATTGTGCAGTGTGTTTGCTTGCCGTGCGTCTACATTTGAAATAACGAACCTGAGCGAGCAAAAGACGCGATGTGAATGGCTTTTTTCCCCCCTGCATGTCATGTGCGCGGGGCTCCGTTTTTATGATGAGAGGAGAGGAAAGGTTGAGAAAGCACTCCAGGTAAATTTTGAAATGTACCAGGTTTATATATAGGCTATATATAAAGTTGATAAGCAGTTAAATGTGTTGGTTTACACACAAAGAAAAGTGTAAGCTTTTAGTAAGTCCAAGAATAAAATGATTAATTTCCTTAGCATGTTAAATTTGATTTACAGAACTTTTGTGCTGCTTTCTAACAGTTTGGACTTGAATAAAGAGAGAAAACTTGCACTTAACCTTTTCACAGGCATTTTGTTTTCATAGTTAGACAGATACCGTGATGTATCATTATAGAATTGTCTAGCAATATATCGATTATCGCAGAATCGCTGTATCG